AATTTAACAGCAAAGGTTAATTACATTTATTTAAAAATCTGATAGACAAAATGATGCTCAAACAGTTGGGCAGACTAATTGAAAGCTAATGTTGCTGCTAAATTGAATTTCAAATGAATTTTACATCCATAGTTCATTTTGCTAATTTCATTCCCTGTATCCTGTAATTTGTTGGCAGTGATTGATTACTTAAGTGAATAATATCTATGTACCAGGACCACTTAGTGATAGAATATGCCAAGTGTGATCATACTGTTAATAAATACGGTTTCTTTAAGGTTTCCCTCTCTGTCTGGATTTCGGAGGGGCAGGGACGCGGTGCCGGGGGAGCAAAGGGCTTTCGGCAGCTGGAAGCTCCTATTTTAGTTTCTTCTTAACAGCAGGTTGCAAAAACGTTCCCGTGCGGACGGCAGCTGCCCCTCGCAGCCCTCCAGCGGCGCTGATACACGGCGGCACTTCATCACCTCCCGAATCCTCCTTTTCATTTGTCAACGGATGAAAACGTATCGATCGAGGGTTTGTCAGGGAACGTTCTGCGCGCGATATTCTGTGCAAGAGGCGCCGCAGCCCGGTCTCCAACCTGAAACCCGGCGCTGCGGACCCCCGACGTCCCGACACCCAGCCCCGAGGTCCCGAGGCTCAGCCATCCCTCCAAACCCCGCCAGCCGGAGCGGCCGCTCGGGGTAAAGACAGCAGAGCCCCACCAAGCGCTGCTGCCTCTTCTCGGCATCTTTGAAGCATCCACTGCTGCAAGATGAATGCAATTATATCTTAATAAAATTTTAATACAGGGAATTATGCGCTTTGCATCCAACCAACAATTAGCTGTTGCTATGCTACAGCCAGAGCGTAATCACAATAATGAAGCCAGCCAAGGGGAGGCATTAATCAGGAGGTGTATCATTATCCAGCCTCACCCCCTGCCTCCCCGGCTCCGCATTCGGAGCCTCCTGTTGCTTTAACGTGAAAACCACCCCCAAAACGAAGCGGACCCCGGCCTGGGAGGGAGCAGCCCCTCTCCGGGCACCGTAGCCCATCCCAGCTGGGGCTCGGTTTGGCCGAGGAGCCGAAGCTGCCTGTACCCCACTGCTCCAGCTCCCTGCCCGCTGCAGGGCCGAAGCCCCGTGAGCAGCAGCAATTCCCCCCTCCCCAGCTTTCACAGCTTGTCATCATTTATTCCTCGGATCCAAAGGAAACATCCGACGAACCGGAGATGCGGGGAAAGATGGCAGCTGACGGAGCTTCTGCGGATGGAAGGGGAAGAAATTCATTAATTTTTCATCGCCGTGGCTGGGACGTGAGCAGCTCATTATTCATCATGTCAGCAGTGACCTTGATGTTGCCTCCATCCCCCCTCGGAGAGTGTTTCCCCACCATCTGCTGAGCATCAGCCTGCCCTCCTGCCCACCAGCGATGGAAAACAACCCTGAGGCGGGAGCGAGCGCAGGCAGGCGGGTACCACTGCCGGCAGGAGCAGGCAGCTGAAAGCCTGCAGGATGCTTGCATGCTCCGGGGCAGCAAAACTACCTGCTGCAATGTGCCAGGAGGGTGCAGCGTGCATGCACGTTGCAAGCCCAAAACTCCTGCAAAGGGCCGGCGGCGTGCACGCTGGCGGGCAGCGTGCCACTCGCAGAGCGGACACACTACACCTCTCGCTGTCCCCAAGCACCGACGCTTTCCTCTAAAGGAAAAATAAAAATCAAAGCCCACCCGGCTTGCGAGACCCTCCCGCCCTTCGAAAGCATGGCTGCATGCTTCCCATCAGGGCGGCATCCCCGTTTCCTCGGGTGTTTTCCATCATTTCTCCCCAAAAATCCCTCTGCTTTGGGCACCCTGGTGCCACGATGCTCAAAAAGAGATAAATTTGCTTTATTTTGTTTGGAGATGCTGCAGGCATCAGAGCGCTCCGGCACCCTGCAATTCAGCGGGGATGCGGAATGAAAACGATTATCAGCAGACGCATAATGATTCATTCTGTTTATAATTGCTTCAAAACGTAGGGAGAGCGGGGAGATGTAATTAACTCTTCTTTATGATTGAGATGAGTGTGTTTTCCTCGGCCACGTGACGCTGCCATATACAGCCACAATTTTTTTTCCCCCCTGGCATCTTTGGCCATGCGAAAGCGTAGATGTAGGCACGTGAATGGAGTCAATCCAGGAGCGTAGCTGAGAGCTATCCCTAAAACCCTGTAACTCCGTGGGCAGGGCAGGTGTTTCTTTCCCTGCAAGCCCCAGGAGGCTGCGGTTGTCCCGCTTTTCCCCTGGACATGGTGAGCAGGATCTCACATCATCCCCTGATTGAAACAGCCCCCTTCATTCCGGCAATGTCAGTAAACGGGCGCCCTGGTCCGTGCCCCAGAGGAGCAGCCCATGGGCTCGGGCTCTGGTTCACAGCACGGATCTCTTGCAAAGACCCTGAGCAGGTTTGGTTTCCTTGGCCGAAGCTTGGAAGAGACACGGAGCCGCAATGGGGAGCGCGGAGCTGAGGGAGGCCCTGCAGAGCGAGCTGAAGCTGGAGATGTCGTCAGAGGGATGCAGTGGGATGAAGGGGCAAGGGGAGCCCTTCTCCCACGCTGACACCGCCGGCGGGGCTCGGTTTGGCCACCTGCCTTACGTTTCCATCCTGCCGCTAACCGAGGAGGCAAGGAGCCCGCGTTAGCCAGGGTTAAGAAAAAATGACCTTGACTTTGGGATCGCCACCTCGTGCTGCGTGTTCCCGGGGTGCTGGGAGCTCTCTGCTGTCTCTCCATCCATCAGGCGTCAGCCCTGGCTGTAACCCGGAGGGGATCGTTACCCAGGCTGTCTGAAGCGGATTCAGCCGCAGAGTTTGTCATGGCCCCACGTCGAATGATTTCTCCTCTCTGCCTCCAGATTTCACCGTATCGCCGGAGCCAATTGCCCAGCCCAGCTCCTCTGGGAGCCGATTTAGGCTGCGTGACAAGGTCGGTGGGCCCTGTGCTGGCATCCCAGTAGGTCCAGGATGAGGCCGATGGAGTGGACTGACAGCACGTCACAGGAGGTCCCAGGTGCCACCCCAGCAAACCCTGCCACCCCCCTGCAGCTCCCCTGCCCCGTTACCTCATGCAGGAGGGCTACGCAGCGTCTCGCTGGGGCTGCAAGACAAAACAAGAGCGGGAAGGCGCGTGTCCCAGCGCTGGGGGATTTCTGCCTGCCCCTGCTGCTGCCCACGGCACCGTCCTGGGCTTCCCGCTGGATCGGCACCTTCCCGCAGCTGCCATGGCTGGGGCAAGGCTTCTGGCGGGGACCAAGGACTCACGGGCAAAGGCAGAGGCAAAACAAGGAGCACTGGATGCAGTGACCCAGGATAGGGGTGGATGCCGCAGCCGGCTCTGGAAGGCAGCGGGGTTCGGGCATCAAATCCCAGCCGAAATGGCCCCAGCACGGAGGAGAGAGGGGAGCAAAGCTGTGGATGGAGCAAGTGCGAGGCTTTGCAGCCCAGGGCTGGCTGATGACCACCCCAGCGGTGCTTGCAGGCTGGGCCAGGCTCTCGTGCCCCTCCGGCAGCCATGCCAATTAGCACCCGTGCCAATTGGCACCCATTCTGCACGGCATGGTAGCCCAGGGACCGTGGGGTGCCGCACGTGGTCCTGCCCCACGGCACGGCTGGGTGCTCCGAGCCTTCCCGGGGCGCGGGTCCCTCGGCACCCACGCTGCACCCTGCCGTGCCCGGGATGCGCCGGCTCTGCAGGACGGCTGGGAGATCTGGGTTAGACCTCGCGCTCCCCATGGGCGACTTTGCCATCAGATGAGCGTCTCATCTACGTTAATCTTTCTTTTTTACACGAAAGCACCAGCGTATTGCGCAGGCGGCCCGTAAAAGGCCGTATGAATCAGCCAGGGAAGGCAGCCTCACACGAGTGTTTATTGTGAGCAGCGATGGGTCCCCGCAAGCCACTGCTGCTGCCAGCGCCGCTGGCCACCCCGCACCCCGGGGTCCCATGTTTCGGACGTGTCCCCGTCCCACCAGCCCTCCCGCGGCGGGTGGGCTGTGCTGGGCCCCCTCGGCACCACCAAAATCTCAGTTTTCCTGGCGCAAAAAGAGACAAAACCCCTTCTGCGCTGCAAACCGGGCTGGGAGGGGATGGAAGGGGGGGCTGCCAAATTATTTGTCTTTGCAGAAAAACGTTGGGTGCCCTCTGGAAAGGAGCGGTCGGAGCTGCTGGGGCTGCCCCGGGGTGCGGGGCGGGCAGGGGGCTGTGGCAGGTCCGTCCTTGGGCAAGTGGGGCGAGGGGGGCCCGAGCCAGCCCGGCCCCGGCCCCGGGCGGCCGGCGCGGCCCCGGTTGCCGAGTCTGCAGTGCCCTCCTGTGGGCACGGCTCCGCCGGCGGGACCCCGCAGCCCTGCAGGGAGCCGGGACAGCCACCTCCGCCGTCCCGAAGGGCCCCGGGACCCCGTCCCCTCCGCCCCAAAGCCCTGCAAGGGGACGCAGGACCCCATCCCCTCCATCCCAAAGTCCCTCAAGGTGATGGAGGACCCTGTCCCCTCCATCCCAAAGCCCCACAAGGGGATGCAGGACCCCGTCGCCTCCACCCCAAAGCCCCACAAGGTGATGGAGGACCCCATCCCCTCCATCCCAAAGCCCCGCAAGGCAATGGAGGACACTCATCCCCTCCATCCCAAAGCCCTGCAAGGGGATGCAGGACCCCGTCGCCTCCACCCCGAAGCCCTTCAGGACCCTGTTCCCCCCATCCCAAAGTGCTCTGGGACACTGGGCCTTCGCCCCTCTCCAAGCCCCGGCACAGATGCTCCAGAACACCCCAAATGGCTCCAAGACCCCGTCCCCTCCACCCCAAAGCCCCGTGGCCCAGCTCAGCCCCTTCCTCTCCCTGTCCCTTGCTCGCCGTGCATCCCCCCCTTCCCCAGCTCTGACCCCGCAGCAGCCGGGAGCCAGCACGGGCCATGCAGCAGGATCCAGCCACCAGAGCCCATCACCCTGCGTCAGGGCTGGCTGGGACAGGCAGGGAGGCAAGGGCCAGCAGTTAGAAGTTTTCTTTGAAGAAGCGGAAGCCGAAGTGCTCGCAGTGAGCCCTGATGACTTTGGCAAGCGCCGGTGAGCCACAAAAGAAGACCTGGACTTTCCCTCTCTTCTCCTCCGCCACCTTCCCAAACACCTAGGGCACAGGCAAAAGGAGAAGATGAGGTGGTGGCACAGCCCCGGGGATGGCCGCATCCCTGCCTGCTTTGGCAGCTGCTGCCTGGCACAACTCAGCCTCCCCGAGCCCCTGCGGCACTCGTTTTCCCACGGGAGAGGCTTCCCCTGGTCTGGGATCCCGGTGCATCTTCCCACTCCGAAACGGGGCTCTCCCATGGTGTCCCCCCCAAAGAGGAGGTTCAGGGGACATGACTCCCTTCCCACAAGCACGATTTTGGCAGCGGGGCAGGGCCCACCCTCACCTTGCTCCAGTCGGGGCGGCCGGGCTGTGTCCTGGTCCGCAGCCCCGTGATCGAGTCCCTCTGCTCCTTGGCGGCCAGCAGGTCCAGGGCCATCTGCAGCCCAATGGCCTTCATGTCGTTCTTGCTGAGGGCCGATGTCATGTACATGTGCATCTCCAAAAACCGCCCTGGGCGTTCAAGGGGAGCCCGGCTGCAGATGGGGGTCCCAGCCCCATGCCGTGCCCCCTCGGGTCGGGTCGGGCTCTCCCAGGAGCGATGCCAAGCACGGGGCTGGGCACCCCCGGAGCAGCGGGCCACGCTGGCCGGCCCCTGTCTCCTGCTCACCTCCTGGCTCCTGCTCAGCCTGCTCCATTTCCAGCTTCGTTAGCAGGCTGACGAACCACTCAAAGTGCTTCTGGTCCCGGTTTATCCAGATGAAGTCAACCTGGAAGGACACAGCAGCCTCTGCTTCGGAGCTGGCAGGCAGCACGGGGACCCAACCCAGCCACCCACCGCCCCAGACCTCCTGGCCTGGGAGGGGATGCTCGTGGGCTCTCCACCCCCTCCCCATTGCAGACCTTGGCTCCGCGTCCCCCTCCGCCCGCTCTTACCTTCCTGAGTGTCATCTCCTCGTCCCGCAGGTCCTCGCACCACGAGTAGTGGCAGCTGGGGCAGCTCTGCTTTTGCCGGCGGTACCTGCACAGGCAGACGCAGCCCTGCCTGCCCCTGCCCGCCCGCACCCCTCAGACCCCAGCAGCCCTTTGCAGGGGCACCCCGAGCGCCCGTTCCTCACCAGCTCTGGTGCCTGCTCATGGCCAACCTCCCGCCAGCGGGTTTCCTGCAGCAGAAACCCCCGGGGGAAGCCTGACACCGAGGGAGGACCCAGCCGTGGGTCTACCATGGCATACATCTCGTCTTGTGCCTCCCAAAGCCACGTCGGGGCTCGTATCAGGGACCACAGAGCGACCCCAGCCTGAGCTGCTGCTACGGCACCAACCTGTACATGATGCTCTGCAAAATGGAGGCAAAGGGGGTGATGCCGATGCCCGCGCCGATGAGCACGGCGTGCTCCGAGGTGAAGATCCTCCATGCTGGGGTCCCGTAGGGGCCGTCGATGTAGCACTAGGAGAGACGAGAAGTGAGGAGAGATCCAGCAGCCCGTGGGTGCCAAAACAAACCTTAGGCTGTGGATAGGAGCAGGGTTAGTGCACAAGGTGCACTGCAGGCTTATGGAGCCCAGGCAGAATTTGGGGTTTTTATGGGAGTTTTATGGGAGCAGAGGCAGAGAACGGGGCCAGGCAGGAGCACGAAGCCCTCGGCAGCACGGGGTTTGCATCAGCCCCAGGCGGGACCACCCGTGCACACGTGTGGGGCAGCCGGGCGCACGCGTGGGTGCCCGCAGGGATGCTGAGCACAGCCCCGCTCACCGGCACCAGGGCAGGAGCGGGGTGTCCCTCACCTTGATGCTGCAGAGCCGACGAGTCTCGCCCAGCCCGGTGGAGACCTGCGAGGTAAAGAGAGCAGCGACCATCTCCTCCTCCGCACCCCTAACCCTCCGTGACAGCCAACACTAAACCCACGTGTTCCCCGGGTTTGGGGGGGGTTTTCCAGCTGGGTTTGCCCGGGCGGCACACACCGCTTCTTCAGGCCAAGCCCATGGCAGTGCCCGTGCTCCTGGCGGGACATCCCACCAACGTCCAGCACCAGGAACCTGCCACCTGCTGATGTTACCCAGATGGTAATCATTTTGAGTATTGATTAAAAAGGCAATTATCCAAATCCCCACACAAGTTGAGGGGTGAATAAGAGGTTTCCAAGGACCACGATGGCCCGGGCGGTGGGAGCAGGCGTGGAGAACCTCGGCTCACCAGGGGACAGATAAGAGCAAAAGAGAGACAGGGAGAAAAACTCATTAAAAATGACGCATGTAAATTCGTTATCTGCAGGGACTGCTCCTCCAGCCCAGACAGAATCAATATCCTGAGAGCTTTTCATGTCGGGGGATAAAAGCCGCTAACGGTGGCTCTCAGCATCCTGGCACTGCCATGGCTTACTTCCGAGAAGTTTCTTTTTAAAAGAGCTTTTTAATGAGCTTCGGCCCATTTGGGATGGAAGCGATGCTCCCCCTGGCTGGTTCTCCAGCCGCTGCTGCCTTGATGGGAGCAGAGACCCCCCTCCTTGCCCCACAGGCTTCAGGGGCTCTGCCTCTGCCCCCCGGGCAGCACGGGGGTCTCGGGGCGAGGGTGGGAGATGGTGCTCACCCCCTCCGCCGGCGGGTCCTCCTCCCCTGGGGCAGCAGCACCGGTGGCTTTGTACGACATCAGCTGAACGGCTCCGTCCCCGCCGGTGGCCACGGACCCCCCCTCCGAGCTGGCCCTGCTGCAGAGACCTTCCTGGAAACCAAAGGCCGAGGCATCGCTGGCTGGGATGCTCGCGGGCAGCTGATGCCCCATCCGTCAGGCTCGTACGGCCTCGGCGGAGGGGTGGGATGCAAAATCCCCCCAGGGTGCCCAAGCACCTTGCAGGGGACGCGCACCACAAGAGACACCCCCAGCACCCAGCCCGGTGCTGCACGGGTGCCTGAAAACTGGGGTGACCCCAGGGGGAGCCGCTCAGCAGAGAGCATCCAGCTCGGTCCTGTCCCTGCTTCTTTGCTTTTTTGGAGCTGGCCAGGGACAGACCACCCGGCAGAGCCCTCCGCATGTGCCGGACAAGGACATCAGCTTGAGTAACCCACGGGCAGACTGCGGGGTCCTCAGCTCGGCAAAGCCATCACCCTCCCTGCTCCAGGGGTGCAACGGGGAGGCCTCACCCCCTCCTCGCAAACGGCTGCCAACCAGCAGCATTTTAAGGTCTAACCTCTGCGTTTGCCAAAAGCTGAGCCCCATCGGCACCAACCTGCGCCCGGCACCGGCGTCTCTTCCCCCTCAGGCTCCTGCTGAGCGGTTTTGGCTCCGGGCCGGGCGATTCGGGCTGCTGGAAGTATTCGTACAGCTTGTTGGTCCACTGGCCCAGCGACCTGATGTGCAGCCAGAGGGTCTCTGCGGGATGAAGCAGAGCAGTGTGTGGGCATCTTATGTCGGGTACTGCCCTGCAGCCCCAGCACCGCGGGCTGGGTACCGCACAGCTCCAGCCCCGGGCACCCGGCAGCAATCTCCACCGACGTCCTTCATGTCAGCCCCGGGCTGGCAGCAGGGGACTGGGTTTGCTCTAACAGCTGGGTGAATCCCAAATCCCAAACCTTGGGCACCCATGGAGCCGGGCAGGGCATTTGGGTGCCATTTGGTCCCCACACCTTGCTTGAAATAACCCAAGCACATGTTTTTATACAGCATTTAGGTGCAGGCAGAGATGGAGGCAGGTGAGTCGAGGCATGCATGAACACACACTGCCCTGCTCCACGGGCACGGACACCTCCTTGCACGTCCCTCAGAGGGGATCCAGCCGTGCTGATGGCGCTTGTGTGATGCAAAACATCATCCCGGTGATGCGAAACAACAACATCCCGGTGATGCGAAACAACAACATCCCGGTGATGCGAAAGGAGCAAAGGACGGGCGATCACCTTGCTGCTCGGGAGCGCTGCTGATGGTGAAGGGGTGCCACTCGTAGGTGGCGATGGCCGGGATGTTCAGGTAGACGTAGTCCCCGGGCTTGTAGTGGAAAAACTGCGGTCTCTCGATCACCAGGTGAGTCACCTGGAGGAAAAAGGAGGAGCAGAGAAGGTGGGAGCATCCAGCGGGCAGGTCACGCCGGCGGGTCTCAGCCGGGGTGCTCTCCCCGCAGCCCACGAGCACCCGGGTTTGTGCCTCCCATTTTAAAAAGCAGCCAGGATGAGACGGACTTACAGCCTTGGCCTGAGAAAGGGGTTTGTTCTATTCACTGCCCCGCTTCGCTATCAGACAAAAATCTCAGTTAGAGCTGGCCTCGAATGACAATTTTTTTGAAGAAACCGAGAGTCAAAGCAGTTTTCATTTTGTCTTTTGTTGTTCTATGAGTTTAGGTTTTTTTACTTGAAAAAGAGGCAAAATTCTAAATAAAAAAAAATTGCTTGAAAACAAAAAAATTGCTTTCACCTTTTGCTGCAAACATCCATCAACACGACCCGAAGCAACCCAAACCCGCATCTTTTCCATGTAAGCTATTCATTGCGCCCCGTCCCCGCCGCACGTGGCCGGGGCAGCGTCCCCCCTCCAGCTCCCCGTGCGCACACGTCGGGGCCGTCACCCCGTCCGCGTCCCGCTGTCCCTCCTTTTCTCTGGCATCGAATAACCAGCGTGGTCACGTACAAAGTGCTTTTCCCCAAACTGCAAAACGCTTTGCGAATATTAAAAGGTATTTCTGTGCACCGTAGCATCTTTATCCCGGCTGCAGAAGCGGGGAGCAGCGGGAGGGAGGTGGGAAGGGGCACGGAGACCCCCGCGGGCGCAGACCTTGGAGGGGAGCAGGTTGACCTCCACGATGCGCAGCCCCCCGGCACGCCGCCGAGCCAAGCCGGCCACCTTCTCCAGCACGAAGAGGCAGCCGGGAACCGCAAACCACTTCCAGAAGTGGGGGCCGTGGAGGATGAGGAGGGTCCAGACGGAGATGTAGGAGAGGTGGGTCCAGTAGAAGACCTGCAGGTGGGGGGGAGAGGTGGGGGCTCAGCTGGGGCATCCCAGCAGGCAAAGGCAGCCCAAATGATAAAGAAAAGCACGGAAACCCCAAAACTGCAAATCTGAGGAGGACAGGGGCATCCAAGGGAGGTATCGGGGGGTACGCACCAGCTCAAGAGCTCTCCCCCACCCATGGGGCAGCACCCGGGTGGGCACCCCCCCACTGGACCCTCACCCCGGTCCCCTGCTCCCCGAGATGGAGCAGCTTTGGGTGCTCTGGGTCGCACGGGGCCGCGGCAGGACCCACCTCGAAGTGGCCGCTCCGTCGGACGCACCGTGCCGCCCAGGCCCCCAACGCCGGGCCGTGCCGACAGGAGGTACTCGGCGAGGGCATGGCGCCCGTCCTGCCGCGCCAGCCTGCCTGGGCACACGCACGGTCGGGATGGGGCACCCGCGGCACCCACGCGCTGCGCACCCAGATTTCTGCCGCACCCACTGAACTGTTACCAATTAATTTTTTTTAACTAAGCAGCACCCAAGCGCTTTGCTCAGACATTTTGGAAAATGCAACATTTCTCCTTTCCAGAGCCCGTTCTCGGGCTCAGCATCGTTGCAAGGGGGGCATTTTGCAGGAGGGTGGGCAGTGCACGCAGGCGTGCTCCCTGGGCATGCCACTCATGCCCCGGGGTGCACGGTGCAGCCCTGGCACCCTGCTGTGGGGTGAAGGGGGCCGTGGGGTGCAGGGCTGTGGGGTGCAGACCCCACTCGGGACCTGTGTGGGGGAGAGCGGGAGCCCTTCGCTGCCCGGCTGGGAAGCCACTAGAGGGGGATAACAGACAGCACACAGACTGTGCGGCACCGCACGCACCCTCCAGCTGCCTGCACCCTGCCTGCAGCCTCTCAGCCCCCCTGGGCATGTGCACTCCCTCTCCAGGCCTTGTATCCTCCTCCCCAGGACATGTGCATCCCTCCCCGAGACACATGCATCCCCTCCCTGGGACATCTGCATCCCTCCAGGACATGAGCATCCCCTCCCTGGGACGTCTGCATCCCTCCAGGACCTGAGCATCCCCCCTGAGGCTCGGTCCAGGCCCCTGCAGCTTTTCATCAGTGCAGTGTGGGTGATGCCCCTTGCACCAAGGGGCATTTTCCACTTTAGCAGAGGGACTGGAAGGGGGGAACCCACCACAGATGGCGTTAGAGTGGGTGCTGCCCACGATAAACCCCTCGTGGCCGAAGGGCCTCCCCTGCCTGGGAGCTGGTACTTACTGAAGTTGGCGATGTGGGCGGCCGTGTGAACGGCCGCCAGCGCCAGCACCACGTAACCCACGAGCTGGTGGAAAACAACGTGCTGGTCCAGCGGCAAAACCTTGGCGATGGGGGTAGCTCGCAGCCAGGTCAGGCACCTCCGCAGCATCAGCACCTCCGGGAGAGGGGCAAGCGGAGGTGCTGGGGGGCACCTGGAGGTGCCAGGGGACCCGGCCAGGGGCTGGTCCCCTGGGGCTCCGGAGCCAGCTCCCCCTGACATGGGGTGTCAGCGTGGAGAGCACCCCACGAGTACCCTTGTCCCAGAGAGCTCCCAACCTCCCTAACCCATTATTTACATATAATTATTTAAAGGAGGAGACAGCCTGGTCCCACAACTCCAAAAGTGCACAGGCTCCATTACTGCCCCCAAAAGACCCCCTGGCTGAGGGGTAAGGTCCCAGCGTCACTGGGACTGTAAACAGCCCAGGTAACCATCGCTCCGCACCCCCCGCAGCCCTCCTGCAGCCCAGCACCCGGCACTCACTGCGAGGAAGGCGCAGTTGAAGTTCAGGCACTGCCCGCAGCCCCGGGCCACCGCCACCCACCCGCCCAGGCCGGCGTGCTGCAGGGCGGCCAGGGCGAAGAGGAGGAGGTTGAGGCTGGCGTAGCCCCCCAGGAAGGCGAGCTTGCTGCGGTGGTTGTGCCAATACGCCCGGGTCAGGTAGCGCGGCCGGCGGCTCCGCTCCACGGGCGGTGGGGGCTTCAGCCAGCTTGCTGCACTGGGAGCAAAGGCATTGATCGCTCCTTGCCCGGAGGAGGGGGAAGCTGGGGCAGTCCTGCACCCAGGCTGGCACCCATCCCTGCATCTGGGCCCTGCATCCAATGTGGCATCATCCCTGCATCTGAGCACTGCACCCAGCGTGGCATCATCCCTGCATCTGAGCACTGCACCCAGCGTGGCATCATCCCTGCATCCAAGTGTGGCATCATCCCTGCATCCAAGCCCTGCACCCATCCCAACACCATCCCTGCACCTGAGCACTGCATCCAAGCCCTGCACCCATCCCAACACCATCCCTGCACCCATCCCAACACCATCCCTGCACCTGAGCACTGCATCCAAGCGCTGCACCCATCCCAACACCATCCCTGCACCCACACCCTGCACCCAGTGTGGCATCATCCCTGCATCCGAGCCCTGCACCCATCCCAACACCATCCTTGCACCCATCCTAGCACCTATCCCTGCATCCAAGACCAGCACCCAGCCTGGCACCATCCCTGCACCCAGCTTGGCACCATAAGGCGCCCGAGTGGCTCCCAGTGTTGGTCAATCACCTCGTGGTCTGGGCACCCCATGAGAGCCTTAACGAGAGCATAAATCCTGTGCTTCTCCCTCCATGCAGGAGGCAAAAGGTGCTCGCAAGGGAACCTGCAGCCCCGTGGGGCTGTCGGAGGGACCTGCCGACGCAGCTACCTGATGGTCAGGTTCTCCATGACCTCGGGGAAACCCTCCAGCTCCTCCCTGAGCTCCTCAAAGGTGATGGAGCCGCTGTGGTCCTTGTCAGCAGCCTCGAAGAGGGCCAGGGTGAGGTCTCCCAGCCGCTCCTCGGGCAGGGCTATCGCGCTCTCCCGCAGGCACCACCGCAGCACCACGCGCAGCTCGTCCGGGTCGATGGAGCCGCTGCCTGCATGGGGCGAGCGGGCGCCGCAGCGAGTCAGAGCGGGGACCCCCATACGCCGTAGCGCCCTGACAACCCCAGGGTTTTACCTTCAGCTTGCATCTTTGATGCAGAAATTGCCTCCCCCCCTTGCAGGCAGGCTCTCTGGGAGGAAGCCGTGCCCAGCCAGAGGAGGACCGTGCCATTGCTCATAAATCAGCAAACTCGTGGATTTAAACAAAACAGGTGATCTAATTGCAGCAGCCGCCTCGTCGTTTGGCTGGCAGAGCTCAGCGCTAGCAAAGCGATGCGGACGCGCTTATCTGGCAGGCGTGAGAGCAAACCCGAGAGGCAAGAGGCGCGGCTCTCAGCTCTTCGGCCAGCGTTTTACGCCCAAGCAGGTCAGAGCAGGAAAAGCAGCTCAAGAAGAGCTTTGCCTTTGTTATTTCCAGCTCTCCCAGCTGATGGAGGAAGAAGAGAGCGTGCTGGGATTCACAAATATCGACAGGATTGAGAGTTGATATTTGAGTGGAGCGGAGACTGCTCCTCTCCGCGGCTGAGGGCGAGAGCGCTTCGTGGGAAAGCCTGACGTGTGGCCGGTTTAATTGCTGGCTTTCAGATGGATTTTTGATGCTTTCATCACAGGAGGATAAGTACCAATTAATCTATTTGTCATCATCTTACCATCCACATCGTAAACTTGGAAGAGGAATCTCAGCTTGTCCGTCTCATTCCCGTGTACGAGCAGGCTCAGGGCTTTCAGCAGCTCCTCCAGGCTGATGGTCCCGCTCCCGTCCGAGTCGAACAGCGCGAAGAACCTCTCGGCGAAGAAGGACTGCGGGGAGAGGAACAAACACGCTCTCGCAGTGGTGGGATGCTCTCCACCAGCCGAATCCTAACACTAGAAACAAAGTTCTCACCGCCAGCAACGGGAATTGCCCGGCAAAAGCTGAAAGTCACGGGGACGGCCCGAAAACAGGAGGGAGGAACGAAGGCGGCTTTTTTGCAGGGGTGTATCGGCACCGCAGCCAGAGGGGGCTGCCCGGGCAGGGAGGGAGCCCTGGGACACGGGACGGGGCGGTAGGCAGCTGGGAGGGGATATTCGCTGGGAATAGCCAAGCCTGTTCAAAGACAGACTGTTGATATCCAACCAATTTTGCATTGCAGATGGTTAATCTGTGTTTTCCACTCCTGCTTGCTGCAGAGTACCGCTAGGTTTCTCTCTCTCCCTCTCTCATGCGACGTCGTACAATTCTATTTTTAAGCTTAATTTTCTCTAAGTACAATAAAAGGCCGCAGCTCTGGTGCTGCCCAGAGGAAGGGGAGCGCTCACCTCCTTCACTTGGAGAGCGGTTTTGAACTCTTCCAAGGCGATTTCTTTGTCCGGCCCCGCGATGCTCCCAAACTGCTTCCTCACCCACTGCAGCCACTCCGCGTCCTCGGCCGCGCTCATGGTGCAGGAACCTGCGGGAGGGCGCAGGGCAGGATGGGCAGCAGCCCCTCGCAACCCCCCGCAGCCTTCAAAATCTGCTTTTTTACTGTTCTGCCATGCTTTTGCCACCTGCAGACTCGCCGCAGCCTTGTGCTGCAAAGGGGCCGCTGCTCTCTGCCCAGCTCACTGGGACGGGGCAGCCCTCGTTGCTGGCCCTGAACTGGGTCCCGATGATATGTGTCTGAGGAGCGTGTGGCTGCTGCATTGCATGCAACCCCAAATTTCCACGTACCGAAGAAACAAGCTCCTGAGTCCTACTGGTACCTGCCACGCTCCAGATCACCACCGCGAAGGTGCTGGAGGTGATGTCAGTACTAATAAGGGGTAACTCCCTCCTCCTTGTCCTTTCCTCCCAAAAGATGTGGCTGTTTGAGCCACGCCGTGCCTGCACGCCCCGGGTGAGGCTCTCGGTTGCTTTTATGGACCTGAATTACCAAGCACCAAGACACAAGATGATAAGAGCTAATGCACTTGCAAGCGAGAGGAGCCGGGCTGCCCCTGCAAAGCCTCTGGCACCTCCCTGGGCTTGCTTTGCCTTTGCAGGAGCAGATGGCCCCGCAGGGGCTGTGCAGCTGATGGCCAAAAGGGAGAAATAACCCCTGCAAAAGAAAAAAAAAAAAAAACCTGCAGCTGCCTATGCTGCGTGAGGACCACGGGGCTCCCATGGCCACCAGGACCTGCCGGCCACCGCGAGAGCAGAGCATCCTCGGGGGGCTCAGCCCATGGCCCAGCTTCGTGCGCCCACTCCCCTCCCGGAGCCGGAGGTCACGGCTCAGCCCCAAAGGGCCGTGGAGGAAGGCAGGGTCCCCGCTTCGCTCCCTGGCAGCCCTGCGCAGTCGCCTTCTCTTTCATCTCCTGCTCTGAAGCCTCCGTGGCTCATCCGTCAGGTTCGCCGGGTGCATCAGGTGCGAGTCCCCGGGCTGCCCGGGTCCCTTTAGTCACCGAGCGTGCGCAGCGTCGCGCAGCCCGACGTGTTTCACAGCGTGCGCCCGGCGAGGCTGAACTTGTTACACCCACACCCTAATCCTAGGATTTCCCTAACTGTGGGGAGCTCGGTTTTACAGACCGAACCATCGCCAGAGCCTTTCGGCTCCCAGCGACAGGGCGGTGCTGTTCCGCCGTCGCGCTGGGACGAAAGGAGGGCGGCAGCAGCAAGATGCTTTGGGGTTTCCAAACAAAACCAGAGCGGGGAGATGGGAACCTTTGCTCCCCGCAGGCTCCCAGCCCTCTCTCCCCTTCCCTCTCCTCTCCCCCACTGGTCCCTGCCATCCCCCTCCCCATCTCCTCCTCCAGACCTCCACATCTTCGCTCCCCCATGCTTCTGTCAGATCTGTCAGCAGCTTGCCAACAGCGCCCAAAATTACCGTGGGCTCTCATTATCTTGGGAAACCACGAGAAAAAAATCAACGCAGAGCCGCCGCATTCAACGAGCCTTTTTCCAACTCCGACCCAGCCCATGCCGCCTTCCCCCAGCCCCCTTCAGTTCCCCCCTCTCAAAAGGCTCCTGCGGGGGCTCGGCAGAAGGACACGGTGTTCCCAGCGAGAGCGCGAGTTGGGGCAACACAGCTGGAAACAAGGCACAAACTCCTGCTCGCGTACAGGGGGGTCGCTCCCCAGCCCTCCCCTGCTTCACGCCGGGTTTAATTTATCGGCTCTCCTATCTCGCACCCAGTTTTGTCATCAGGTCTGTAGCCGCAGCCCCGTTCTTCTGTTGCTGCGTGATATTTAAAATGTAGCTGATCGCAGCTGTTGTATGTTATTCTTTTAATTTCCTTTATTTTATATTTCTCGCGCCATTAAGCACTCTAACCTTGGGAAGCGCGCGCCCTGCCAAATCCAATAAAGAGCTCGTATTCACCCGGTGCTTCAATCCTTATTTACTGGCCATCAGGAACACATGGGGAAGTGTCTTTTTCACACTGCAACCTTTATTCCTTTTTGAACAAATCCTACTTGTACGGCACTAAACTGTGACTAAATTGGGGAGGAGGTTGCCATGGGAATGTCAGAACCAGAAACCAGGTAGTAAACCATTTCGGCTTTACTACTCCGGCTCCTATCACGGCTGCTCCAGGCAGTAAACAAGCAGGGAGATGGTTTGTACGCTAAGCGGCAGAGTTTCGCTTCATCACTGGGGCTGAGGCGGCCGATCCCAGCTGGAAAACTCCCTCGGTCTACCTACTTACTTGGTTATTGGAAAGTTCGCTGAGCTTCATACAAAAATCCTCCTCTGGCCCCACGGGAACCGCAGAGATGGCTCAGGGTGGAGCTCAGATCCATCTCTCGGATCCATCTCTCCGATGGAGACGTTGCCCCGGGACCGAGGCTTGTGCTGCACAGACCCGATGTCGGGAGCATCCGCAGCCTCCCCTCTCCTCCCTCACCACCCCGGCGATGCACGCCCCACGTATCGGACCGCAAAGAACAGGCAAAACCGCGAAGAGGCCAGCGGGAGTCGGACAAAACGGATAGGGAAGCCCTGCGCGCTGCCCTGCGGTCAGCGCCTGCCCCTCCAGCCCCGGTGTCACGACGGAAAGTACCGGGAAACACAAAATACATCCCACAACAAGCATCTCCTTGGGTCACGACTGAGTCATTCCTCACGCCAGGGCTTATTTCCCTATCCACGATAAGGCTTTAACTTGCAACGATGGTGAAACAGTATTACAGTAAGCAGATTTTAAGAAAGCACACGAAAATACACGTTAACTATCTTAACCCAACTAAGAGCTGAGAACCAGGTGCTGTGGGCACTGCCTGCTACTGAGCTCCACGGCAAAGTAACGCAGCTTCAAGGGGGTCGTTCTCCCCATTGCCCCATGCAGCAGTATTTCTTCTCGGCTGTGTGTGTTTTACACGGAGTCGCAGCTTTCCCCGCTGGGATCCAGCGGGGACCAAGCGCAGATTCCGAACTGAGCTAAAACTGCCAATTCACACTCCAGATAAACGCACCTTAAACCTGTGGTGATCCAAGGTCGTGAAACCCTTTACTAGGGAAAGGGGAGAGTAAAACGTAAATCATCTTTAAGTACGTGCTAGATCCGACAGACACAAGCCCTCCTTTATGCTCAGAGTATTTCCACTATACAAATGTACTGTAGATCTCGAAAATAAAGAGACCTTAAATTTGCTAATACGACTTAATAAATCGTGGTCAGGCTGCTATAAAAAGAACATAATATATTATATTCAGACATCTGACATCGCACAGAGTGGGATAGGGGGTTATTTACTCCCCTTGGAGCCGGCAGATGTACCAGCGCAAAGTCTGTTTTATTTCAGTTCTTGCCTTAAATTCCTCATATAAGTTTATGAAAATAAGCCTGACGAGTCGATCTCCCAAGAAAAGCGCTTCTGTTTGCTCTGCCTGCAGAAATTCCCCTCCCAGGCCGTCAAAGATGACCACAGACCCAGCATTTTTGCACCGCGCTGGAATGCACGAAGGTAACCCACGCCACGCAAGCTAGGCTGAAGACAAGGACCCAGTTCTACGAAAACCTAGAGCGGAGCCCGATGCAGGCTGTTTCCATTTAAATCACTAATTAAAAGTACTTTTTAGAGTCAAATTATACATCTGTAAAACTTTACAGGATGGTGCCTCAACTGCCTGTCGCTCCAAGACCAAAATCAAATGTACCAACACATTCACGTCCTTAGAATCAGCAAAACAGCCAAGGATCAGGAGCAGATAATACCCCAGCAGCGAGGAGCGAGGCTCACGCCTGCTTAACGAAGAGGCTGTAATTAATTCAGCAGAGGTACATCCCTGCCGTGCTGCTGAGCGATAATTGAGGCAAGAAGCGACTTTGCCATAGAATCACAGAATCGTTAAGGTTGGAAAAGACCCTTGAGATCATCAAGTCCAACCGTTACCCCAGCACTGCCAAGCCCACCACTAACCCATGTCCCTAAGCACCACATATACCCG